TGTGTGGTTGGCCCATCTTACCGAACAGATCATACCGGGGTGCTGCTCTTTGACGGTGAGTCTGCGCACACCACCTTTTTTTGAACGAGGTGGCCCACCGTCTTCTCTAACAACACTACAGGCTCATGGTACTGCAGGAAGCCATCACATTTACATATAAGGGTACGCGGTGTGGTTCTGCTCCCCAACGTATATAGAGTACGAACGGCGGTGCGGTAGGTGTGTGTGACCGGGTGACGGGGGGAAGAAATGCGGCGGAATTAGCTCTACACTACAGCTACTTCTGTAGCAGAACATTTTTTGGGTGAGTTTTGATGAACGGGATCGCTGCGGTGGCACTGCTGTCGGGCACAGGTAGAACTCTTGGCACGGGAAATTACATGAAGGCATTGACAAATAGAGGGGTCCGGCTATGAGAGTTTATCTTCACGTATCAAAGGGCGAATTCCACGAGATCAAGGGTGGATGCCACTCCAGCAGTACTACTGCTGTAGTCTCTGGTCTACTGCCGAATATTCGTGCAAACTGACCTTGAGAACATCCATTGGATGCACGAACATCCACGCGGAGATCCCGCTCGCACCGGCAACCCCAAACCTCACGGCTGTGGGAATCCCATCGGAGGGTCCGACACCAGGTTTTGGGGTCATGGCAGTCCCTGCTGTGTGGTACAAGGAGCTGGTTGGTGGATAATAGTGGATCTGCGATCTGCGACAGGTGTGCTGTGGAGGGAGTTGGTATTGTAGGGTCATCGTGTTCTGTTGGTAGGGAACGCGCACACATACAATGTTTCTGAATGTGTCCCATTCCATACTTCATGGCTGTGTGGCTAAGACACGCCCCATGCATATTGTACCCTGTGTCCTTTATTCATGAGACCTTGTGATGCGTGTGCTGCGAATAAAATGCCGAACTCCGCATGAAACAGTAGTAGCAGCAGCCGCGCCGACGAGACGAAGATACAATTTCCGTTACGTTTTATCTTCTTCTCTGTCCCTTTATCTCTCTCCCTCGGCATGCCACCCGGCTGAACATTTGCCCACCGCACGGGATACATCTCGTGCGGGTGTCACCGATCATGACTTCCACCAGCCATCAAGCACGAGAGCGCACTAAGGTGGACGCCAACCGCTACACACCCAACACAGCCGAGGTGTGTGGAGTCATATTGACGTTGACTGAAGACTACACTGCTGTTGTATTGCATGTAGGTTAACTACACTACTGCTGCCCACTCAACACTCTCGAGGAAATGATGTGTTGCCTTACCAGTCAAGTTTGAGTGACACCTCCTGGACGTACATGAGTCTGTGTGACGGTTTGCTTTCACCACCGTATATACCGCACAAGACAACACACCCACATACATACATACATATATATGTAAAATAACACCCCCCCGCACATTACCGCGTTGTTCTTGGTACATATGCGTACATGTAGTGATACCTATTTTTGCGGGTCAACACGAGCTACTGTAGAACATAAAACAACTACGCTGTACTCGCAGTACACTAAAAATCCACAGCAGTTATACATCGTCTTTGACCACATGAGATACCACACACCCACCGCAACACCCCCGTCGACAATTTGATTTGTTTTGGGAAGCCACAAAATACTCGGCTGGGCGGGCATCACCGTACTAGGTTGGGAACCGCCGCACACACACACAACAGCAGTTCGACTATTTGTTATGGCATCTTACAACCTACAGGCACACCTCGCTCATACTGACAACCCGAAGTATTGTAGTCGATGCATGGCGATTCTCCGTGTGCTCAAATGTTGGCGGGGAGAGATAGTCTCCACATCCAGCATAAAACAAAAAATATATCGCCGTTCGTAATTTGTGTGCACCAACATTCACGCCAAGTCCAAATGTTTGTTCACTTTCGGTATTGAGGTGTCCCCGACAACACCTGCTTTTACGTTGTGATGCCGTTCGAACTGTCATGTGGGTTTCCCCAAAAACACAACGAAAACTGCCTCTCTCTATGTGCTGAACGTATTCTGTTGCTATTGAACAAAATCTTCACCCATGTTCTGGCGGTCTTGTGAGTATCCCATGCATTGCATGAGTTCATGTTTCATGGTGAGCACACCAATTGCTTTCATGGTACGACCGCCAAACAAGAACGGCGCACACTACAGCTGTGGTAGTGCTTGTGCAAACGATCTGACCAGACGTTGTGTCTCCCTCTATTCTCCTTGGTGGTCCCTGCCTTCATGCCCGACGACATGTCCAACATCCAAAAGTGGGTTTCCCTAAATCGCTGCCCCAGCCACGAGGTCGAGATAATTCTTGACAGCTTCCGCCACGCGGCTCACCATCCGCTTGGTCGACCACAGTCAGCGCTTCTCCCTCGTCGTGAGATCAACAGCAGACGCACGCTTCGCCACCTCCATGGACTGAAGGGGGGCAGGAACACAGGCAAGCCTCGGGCAGCAAGCGAGATCAGCCTGTAGCACCGGTGCTTATGACCAACTTGTACTCTGATCTCCGTCGAAAAGATCCCTTCACCCTCTCTGACCTGGTACTACCAAACATCCCAGTGAAGACGGTGATAGTTGGCGCTGGAGTTTTACCGGTACCTCGTAGGGCACTCGTATGCTCGTAGTGCAAGCCGCCGACAAACACGGACATGCAGAGCATAAACCGACGGCACCATACCTCCATCGCCTTGTTCTCCGACAAACCCGCCACGAACCTCTGATACACAGCCGACGACAGGACGCGCGAGCTCAAGGAGTTCAGTGTCCACCAGCGGAGGAATCTTCCAGACAACAACCGCCGTGCTGCGCTTCCAGAATGGTCGACTAGAAAAAAGTACGGCTCCTTTGGTTCAAAACTTAATGGTTGTGGCGGGGTCGGCGGTGGAACGAGTCCGTTTTCCCCGCACTCGCAGTGTAAGGAGGGCAACCATGCCATGTTCCCGGGGTGGCTGCTTCGAGAGATGGAGCTCCGACAGCTCGCTAGCGCAGACCCTTCTACGCTAGAGAAAAGGAGAGAGGAGGCCGCGCTGTGGATCAAGAAGGAGGTGAGGGAGGGCATTTGGTATTTGACCTCGATCGGGCGTGTGACCCACGTCGTCGACTGGGTGGAAGAAAGTTGCATGAAATTTTGTGTCGTTCTGGGCTTGTTACCCACCTCAGAGCGGCAACGAACTGTGGCCGAGAGGCAGGGCATGTGACCACCGGAGACAGTTCCCTTCCGCACCTCGCCTCTTTGTAAGGTGTGCACAAAGCAATTGCATACGAAGCATGCTTTTCAGAGGAGAGCTGACGAGTGTCTGCCGCTCGCAATACTGTCGATGCCGCCGACCGCGCAGTTGGGGGCGTCACCGTCCGTCATGTTTGGGGACGACATGCCCTGGTATGCCAAGAGCGCCAACAACCAGCAAACCAGGGCAGCCAGCGCGAGGCAGCGGCGCCGACCGGACGGAAGGATGGTGAGAGGCAAGCTTAACGCGAGCCTGCCGACGAATACGTCGGTGTGGTTGTAGAGAGGACTTGAGACAAGTTTCCCAACAATGTCGTCCACCAAGCGACACTGGGTGTCGTCGGTTTCCTTGGCAGGTTGGAGAATGTCATGCCCTCCACGTTGTGTACGCTAACAACTTGCAAATTTGTGAACACTGATTTGGCCGGCAGTCCATGCTACCCCCATACACGAGTCTCCTTTCAAGACGAACGTCTCTGGGAGCGTAGTAGCGGCTTCTGGACATCCTGCTATGTACCTAGCTGATGTTGTGCCCTCCCGGCCCGACTCACCATCATCGCAGTCCAGCGCGACTACACTGAACCGCTGAATTTACCTCGCTTTCTCAACGATGGGCCATACATTCTGCGTACACACAATCAGCGCCAACTGACCCAAGAAGATAGGGATGGCCCCTTTCTCCGGGGTGGCGGTGGCGGCGGGAGGTCTACGCAGGCGTCTTCCGGCCTTCCCAGATACTCGTCCTCCCTTGATGGTGAGACTTCAGCCACAAATTCTTTCGAACAGTGGAAGAGGAGGACTAGGCGTCGCAAAGTTCAGCAAAAAAAATCTGCCACACCCGTCTTGTTCGGCGGAGTTGGTATCCAGGATACTACAGGGGAGGGTGCCAATCGTCCGCCGTGTTGTGCATTGGACTTCGTCAACGCAAACGGTACTTTTAAAAGTGAGATCGGACTATCCAGGTCATTCCTCAATCTCACATGGCCGCAGAAACTTGTTGTCGCGTGTGCTGATGCCAAGAGCAAAAATGTACACTACAGCGCGGCTGGTACGATGCCAAACTAACAGTATCTGCTGCGTTTGTATAGGCAAGAAGGTCCTCACCAACGCACCGCCTCCGGTATACCGTGCTGGTAGTGGCTTGAAGAAAGGGAGCTCTCCCACTGGGTCAGGGTGGGAGTTCTTCGTGTCCAAGTTGGTGTTAAACAAAACAGAGCGGTAAGAACACAAGCCGGGAAAGGGTACAACGGTTTTGCTTCAATATTGACATAGAGTCAGCAACGACTTGCGGTACAAGGAACTCCCGCCAGGCGGCCTTCCAAGTCGGCCTGATCGTCGCGTTCTGCCGTGCAGACTACCAGAAAGAACGCAGTAAAGTCACGTTCAGTTTGATAAATCGTGTGTGTCTTGCTGGCTTGTTTCCTTGTCCTCCACTCATCACCATCTCGGGGCACATCACGGTAGTTTCGATACAAGAATGCAATCATGTGTCCTCTTTTCGCGTGATGGCTTCCCTACGGTACTTCGTTGGTGAACAGAGGCGGCGTATCGGTACGACGGCCCTCTTGCCGAAACTATCGAAAAGAACACCTTGACAATTACTCAGCATAGTCCTCCGCGGATACATGATGAGCATACGGACCACCTGAAAGAGTCGGGCATGGCCACCCTGTTATCACCTCCTCAAAACATGCTCTTGCATCTCACCCTCCTTTATTCCCTTTGTTCATGCCCGCTGCCTCAAAACCTGAGCAGCGCGTCCGAGGCCGTAGTCGCCATGGGAAGCAAATCTGGCATCAATCTCTTGGACCGGTGAGTAGCCAGCCGGTGGTATCCTTTCTCCAGACGTGTTCGCAAGAGCTCTGGGTACTATTTGGCGAAGCACCATCAACAACGTATTTGAAAGTACAATTCTCATGCAACTTGAGCAAGCTTTCAACATTTGGCGAGATGCAGCCTCAGTACTTGGAATAGCCACGAAACAGCACCTAGCGGTGGTTATAGCGTCAACCAACTCGTTCAGTGCGATTCCCTCGGTTGAATCCGCTACTTCGTCACCATCCGCTGTCATGTGATCCTGCGATCGCGGTTGCAAAGGTTCGACGACTCTATGGTGGACTACCTGTCGGCCGAAGTTCTTCTTCAGCAGGCGTTTTCGATTCGATCGGCGGTGAGTTCCGGACATGACCAAGGGAAGGACACCCATATTATTCAGCAGTTGCTAAATCGCCCCGGTGAGCGCCACCACGAGTCTTCCTTCTCCACCCCTCGGCGCTATATCACCAAAGGCTAAGACAAGCCGTTCTAGACGATCTTGACGGCTGTTAACTTGCTGTGGATTTCGCCTGCGCTCCCTTTTGTGCCAAGTCGGGGGTGCATTCGCATCACGCACATGGCACGACACATTGTAGCACCCTGGCCGTTATGGGGAGAGATACCAGGGAACCAGCCCTCATCTTGTTTGCAAGGCGTACATTTATCAACGTTCCGAGAGTGGGGCACGCCGCTGATCTTGTGGATCCATGAACGCGGATCTGGGTATTCGTCCGCTTCTACTCTGCGGTTGAAATCAAGCACCTATAGGCAAGACCAGTGCACTTCTCACCGAGTAAGTACTTTCTACATGTGCAACCTCTCGCGACCAGACGTTCGGAGTTGACCACCCCAAGGCTCGAGCGTCGGGGATGCTCCTGCTGCAAGTGTACGACGCCCAGAACGGGGGGAGACAAGACGAGGCCAAGGAGCTTCGCGCGGACCCGCATGTAAGCGCAACACTTTGGAGACTGGAACGTCGAGGTATGAGTCGCTCGGGTTCGGGGGGGGTTAATTTTCCAGGCTTGTGGTCCTCGGCACCGCTGTTCGTTCTTAGCAGCTGGGCGAGCGGGGGAAGGGTAAATAGTGGGCGACGGAAGTCTCGGCAAATCCAAAAATTGGCCACGTGTTTTGCAGACACGCCTTCCTTCAGGCCCCCTCTCGTTGGGTTAAACTTGTGTGATACGTCTCATACGGAGAAACGTTCGGCGCACCGTGACTACCAGGTGTTTCATCTTGGTGGGGGGTTGGCAGGATGTACATGGAAAGAATAGGGTATTGGGTTAGAGTTCGGTGAATACGTTGATGCGGATAATCGCTACCTTGTTAAGTGGAAAATCCCTTCACTTGAACATTGTTTGGAGTGCAAAGAAAACAAGATGGCAAGATGATAGTAGTGTGCAAAGCCTCCCTCGGCTGTCAACCAAGGCTCGTTTGCGTATGGCGGGGCAGGACTGCGGTTCAAGAGCAAGTTTCTTCCGACGTAACCAGGTTTTGACATTGGACGATAACTACTTGGTTGGCAACCACGTAAACCCGTAATCCGCATCATATCGCACAATTCCAGGCACATCTTCGGACCGTGAACCTTCGGATCGCCGAACTAGAGCGTGCCATCGAGACTTTCAAAACGGAAGGCGGGGGCGCGTTTTCTTCGAAGAGAAGCAAGAAAAATAATAACGGTGGTGGCGGCGGCGAGGATGCCGCGGATGTTGAATTGCGCTTGGCCAACCTGTTCAAGGAGAAGTGGGCGCTTGCGGCGGCAGAGCGGTCCGTTCAGTTTCTGAAGACGTTACCGAGACATGATTCTCAACCAAATCCATGCTTGCGAATATATTGTAGCACAACAATGTTCCCTGTCACGAAAGCGCGGGATATCTTCCTCGCCTAAAAAAAAAGTAGCCCCGACTTGAGAGGTCCTGGCTACGCCACAAGGACTCGGTTCGGTGCCTACGGTCGGGAGGGTAGGGCGGGGTACTCGCTTTTTCAACATCATCAGCATTAGAAACACGAACCTACGCCCAAGATTAATTTGTCCACACCGGCTTCTCCTGAGATATTCCGCAACCCGCCGTTCAATCCCACTACCCCCGCAGGGCACGACAGCGCATCCGCAAACGGGAGTTCCAGACGTTCGCTGCACTCGAGGAGGACAAAGGCGTCAAGGAGAAAGCCACCCGCGGAGGATTACATACAGACATGAACGCGTACGGCGTGCAAGCGGAAGAGGGCTATCTGTCGGGGGGGGGACCAGGAATGGTGTCGGACTGGGAGATGACCAACGCGGCAACGGCGATGACTGCAGGTTCTGAGGCACCGCACGTGTGGCACACTACTGCAAGGATCGATCCAGAGGTTGGCGTGTGCACGAACGTGTGTTTGTGTCTATTCGCCTTGTTTCTTACCGAGGAAATGCTTAACGTTGGCAGCCCTTCTATTTATCATTCGTGCACCGTGAGTGACAGAATGATAGATAGACCATGCCATTCAGAGCGGGTCACGGAAGTTGCTACAGTGTAATGTTTTCCTATAATAGGTGCAGATCATTCGACGCAAGTATTGAATTTGGCGAGGCCTCGTTCGGAAGCAGGAGAGCTTCGCATGAAGAAATCCCTCCGGCGCTGAGAGTTATCCCAAGGTCTGGGGCGCTTCCGCCCGAAGATGGATCCTTATGAAAAAATTTCTGACTCAAGTCAAGTACGGAGTTTTGATAACCGCTGGATACCACAATCTTTCATGTACAGAAAATTGTGTGCCGTGAGCAAGATATTTTTAAAACGTAGCGTTATTCGCAGATAAGTTCACAGCGGTGCGATGTCTCTCCTGTCACCCACGGTATATACCCACAGGGCCTGTCGGCTACCCTTCTCAGCGCGAGCAACACGGGCTTCAACAGCGAAGAGGCGGTGAGGCGAGCGACAGACTCGCTCAAGCGGCAGGACTATTTCCTCGCGGCGCGGTCGTGCATGGGCAGCCTAGAGCAAGACGTTCGGAACCCCGTGGCGATACAGGTCAGGCCAACATTGAGGGTTTATTGAGTGGCGGTGTTAACGTGCGGCAGATGCTTGCATCCCTACAAAGGCGGCAGGGAGCATGTCTAGCTCTTGCGTGCCACCAAAAGTGCGGTTCATAGCGAGTTGTTGTTGTTGTTTTCACATTCAAAACCGTACCGATCTCTCTCTACCCAGTACCTTCGTTTGTCCGTACTGATCCAACACTCGACGCGGTCGATCCCCGTGGTCACAGGTTAACTTACCCTAAAGAGGTACACTCAGATAAACTGGCCCCGAGGCTAGACTACTAAAGAAAAAACGTACTCCAAGCGGGGTTCGAACCCGCGACCTCCACCATGTCAAGGTGGCGTCATAACCAACTAGACCATCGGAGCGCTGTATGCAATGTGGTCCGAAGTTTTCATCAACAAACATGGTTTGCCTTGGCACGAAAATATTCGAAAAAGTGAATATTGAAATGCGACTGTATTGTGAATTGAGCGTTCGTTGTGAGATCAACCTGCTCAGAACTGAAGATTGGGAAACATCGTTGTAGATTCGCACCGGCCAGGAAAGGATGGAGGAAAAAGTGCTATACTGGTGAAACTACTTGGAATCTGCAGTGGGCTCTCTAGAAGATTTCCTGTGCTCAAGGTTCCTTGTCCACAGAACGCCGAGCAAAAAACAATATGAAGGATTTACATGAAAAATTGCTACTGGGAAAATTATATTCAGGCGGGGTTTCCCGAAGAACGAAGTTTGTGATGCATGTAACCATCCACCCGAAGATTGTGATGCATGTAATCACCCGCCCGCACGCTCCATCAGGTGTTGCAAGAGTCCTTCCGGCAGATAAGCTCTTTCCCGAAGAAGGAAGATTTCCGGGCGGACGTGGAGGTTGCTCTGGGTCCTGCGGCCAGCGGCGTTCTCGGAGAACGGTTCACCGTGCGATACTCGTGAGCTTATTTCTAATAAACAAGACTACGCATACCCTGTCTAGTCAAGAAATGATAGGGTATTGACCGGTTGAGCAAGTCCGCCGACTTCCACGAGAACTTGATATGATTCCGTCATTTACCGTTATCATTATGTATCACCCAAAAGAAAGTTGCTACGCTGATGCGTCTTGTTGGATACAATCGACTTGGAACTTCTCAAATCGAAAATGACAACAGACCAAGACATCGACGTGTAACGGTACAACTGCACCGCGTTTACAATTCGAACGGACTCCGATCCGAGTCTACTCCTACTATTCTATTTTCTGACACAACTGATGCCGAAATTACAGTGAAAACACATCTCGGTTAGAGTGCTCCTTGAATCGGTTTGCGGTCTGCGTGAAGAAACCACACTACGAACCCAATTTATTGGAAATGAAGTTCACTACTTTGTCGCATAGCTCATACGCGCAGCACAACGTTCCAATCGCTTCGTTGACGAGGACGCAACCAGTAAAGTTAACGTGCGCCCTCGCCCCTCTCATTTCGTTCCGTTGCGTATCGTCCTGTCCTACATGCACCCTCAGATACCACCATCGGGATAAACTCCACCACCCCCACCCCGCCAAGGATTGGGTGGGCTTGTTCCTTCTCGGCGATGAGCTACCCCCTCCTCCCGCCGTTATCGCGCCGGCTGTACGACCTCCGCCGCAAGCAGGCCAACGTCAAACCGCCCCCGTCACCCCCGATAAGCGATTACCATACCACGTTGCCCCTGGCGAATCAACTGCTCGTGGTAGTACTCCTGACGGCCAGCAAACCACGGGAAGGAGCAACGTAGGTTCTACCGCCGACAACAAGAAAGACGGCAGCGCCAGCGTTGTTGGCGGCGATGGATCGGCGGTTGATGCGGCAGCAGCAGCAGGAGCAGAAACAGTCTCGGCGGCGGGGTCATCGGGGCCAGCACTGACGGTAACGTTGGCGGCAAGCGTAGCAAGTGGTACGAACCCACCCGGACGTCACGCCGACTTACGCACTCCAGACAACGTCAACGGTGAAGATGCCAGCAGTAGGACGCAGAACAAGAAAATATCTAGCAGTCATCAGGTGGCAACGGAGCTTGCTACAGGCGCGTCGCCGAAAGCTACAGCGACCAGAAGCGGGCATAATTCAGTCGTGGGAAAGGAAGGGGACAGGGGCAAGACTTTGTTTCCGGGAAAGATGATCGGTTGGCGAACACTGCCACCGGATAACGCGGTAAGACCGAGGAGGCAGGATTCACTGTTCAACTCGGACCATCATCGCTCAACACTTTCTTGTGAAGCGTTGAACAGCAGACGAGGGTTACGGTAACGATGTCTTCATTGAGCCGTTCATCTTCATTTGTTTGCGCGACACATGGTTTCTTCTCTTCCCGTTGAACGCTGCCTCGTCACCATACATCTTTTTTTTAACATGATCCTGGACCTGCACGACGCGAGCTAGTCTTGTAAACGCCCAACCTCGTTTGTAGCTTACTCTATGTTCTCTTCGGTACTGATACTGCTACTGTCTTCGCCATCCTCACAAAGGGAGTGTTTGAAGTGGACGAACGCATAGTCGCGCTCGAAGGGGTGTACGTGGTGAGATATTTCCTCGGCGGGAGCGGCTGTTGTGTGGCCCAGAGCAAGAACTTCAAGGTATTGCGCGAGGTCGCGTTTGGGGGGATTGTGGGTTTGACGACGGCCTCTCACGGGGGTGGGCCAGTGGAGGCGTTTGCGTGATCATGGGTATGGGTTAGCAAGGAAGACGCAGTGCACGATGGCGTTGGTTGGTTTTTCGCCTCCGTTTTCAGGTGCAAGAACACAAAAGCGAAAACAACACTTGACTGTAGGGGATGTTTTCTCGTAGCGAGCCGCCCTGCCTCTTGCTAAGCATACCATGCGTCTCCTCGCCGTTGCGCATCTCATCTACACCAATCACTCGGCAGGCAGTGACTGGTTTCAATTTTCTGCGCTTTCAACCCTCGTTGGAGCTGCGAGGTCCTCTACTGAAACGAACGGTTCGTGTCTCAAGTTATCGCGTGCATGTTTTTGAGCGGGTGCATCCATCTTTACATCTTGCTTTCCTTTGGCCAACTCTTGCTTGCGTGGCCCGAAGATTGAGATGGCTCGTGTGGACCTCAAGATCGTCGCGGGCGTTTCTCCCCCGCCGACAACAGCGACAACTGCGTCGAACTTAAAGCTGGGTGCTACAACTTCGAACTCCCCCACGCCAGGGTTCCTGCGGTTGACGTGTGGCGCGCCCTTCGAGGTATGTTTTCATCTCTACTTAGGACTCATAACCGTATATGTAGACCCTCTTCTGTATCTTTGTAGTTAGTGACTATACGGCCCGTCAGATGTTGCTGTCTTTCGTGGTGACAGCCTATACGGAGGCGCTCCTCCTCACTCTCCTCCTCCCCGTACCCTTCTGGTTGTTCCCTCCTTTCACACAACGAGGCCCATTCCTCTATTCTTGAAGTTCTGATTGGCCAACTTTTTGCTCCGTTCGTCAAGCTTTGCTATTCCGGGCCAGGGCTCACAGAGAGGGGCTTATCATCTTCGCTTACCTCCCGGACCCCGTCTTCGAATGTTTCCATAGTTCATCGTTTGTATGGACCCGCTGGATGCTTCACAGGTCGCCTACAGGTTCAACTACAGCACGGCCGTCCCGACCGGAGATTGGCTTGGAGTGATCGCGTGGGGGGACGAACCCACCGCCGGCACCTGCATTGTCAGGAGACCTTTCCTGGAATCAAGCTCTGGAACGGTGCGACATAGTAGCGCGAGTTTTTGCATGTACCGCGACCTATACCCTTGATTTATTCTCTTCTTGCAGGGCTCCCAGTATGTTGTTGGTAATAGTTTTATACCAACACCTCCGGACCCGTTCTCTATTTTTCTGTTGGCAAGCGTGAAGGTTATGTTTTCGTTCCACACACGGTGTTTGGTTCTACGTGTAAATACAGTGCTGGGGGCTACGATACGAAAATGTTGCGGGTGCATCACTCACCGACGGTGGCCATGCGGAGAAGAAGGTGCAGCAGCTTAATTTTTGCAGCCTCACGGATGTTTTTCACGTCCAGGCATTTGCACACACAGTTTGATCGAAACACCCCTTTTCTCGAACTGGACTGGATGTTCTTTGTGATCCGAATAGGTGTTCTTTGAAGAAGGCCCTCCTCTGCCCGGGAAGTACGCGGTACACGCCTTCTTGACCGAGTCCAACAACGCCGTGGCGGGATCAACGGCCATGTTCGAGTGCATCAGCGGCTTTGGTGCCGAGGAAGCCCGTTGTTCCAGGTGGGCTGCGCTGCCCTCTGATGCATTGCTTATGATGGGGCGTTTTTCGGAAGACAACTCCCGCTCGATGTGTGGCCATGTGTGCACTCTCATGATCGACCCCGCGACCCTTTCCCCCCCAAACTACAATCGGTGTTGTCTTGGTTTGCAAACGGCTGGTTTCTTTTTTGCGAGATACCTCTTACTCCCTCTTTTGGGTATGTTCATCCTGGAGGCACGTACGCGTAAACGCGAACATTTCGTCATTGCCACAATGAACGTGTGGTGCAACCTCGTGCACAATGAAACAATAGACAACGGTGTGCGGCTCGAAATCGTCGGGGCTAGATATCGGCGTTACCATAGAGTAATAGCTTGCAAACGGGGGAAGAAACTTTCTAATCGTCTTCTCCCTCCTGTCCGAGCAGTGCACGAAGCCGCGGAGTCCCCTGTGAACAAAAGCCATTTGGGGACACCACTAAATGGGCACGACGGTTGCAATCTATGTCGGGGTTCGACGTTGTCTCGAGAGCACGCAGCCAAATGAGCGTCCCTGTTCCCCGTTCCCTGGAAAACTTGTGCTCTGGGGATTAGATCAAAGAAATGGTAAGTTTCATCACATTCTCGCCTTTACGCCTTACCCGTACATACATGCATGCGCACCGCCACCTCTCTCTTGACAACAAATAGCCCTGCTCCCCGACACAGGAATGGGCGCGAATTCACTCTTTACCTGTCGACACGGTGGGACATGATGCTAGAGCGCGCCGCCTTCAGGGATGCGGCTGCACCCGCTCTCAAGCAAATGCTGGATGCAAGAGGCGTCACCTTTGGTTTCATAGATGCGCGAAGTGACTTGGACGTCGAGGACCTGACCACTCCCAGGGGGGTCGATGCAGTCCTGGTACGCTCTTTCAACGATCTGGTTGCTAGATACGTCACTTCGAATAGGGGAAAAAAGCGCGGCAAGTTCAACAGTTGCGTTTCATGTTGCCAAAACGAAGAAACCGAAAGGGTAACCTGCCTCAAGGACGCTCAAAGACAGAGGGACCCTCTGTCGTCTACGTCTGCCAATCACGGCACGATGCGCTTTTCATCATCTCTAGAGGTGTTGGTTTCGAAACCCACGTACTACACCGTAGAAGCGTGGGTGTGAGAATTCAATGGCATCAATTGCAACCGCCGTAATACGTCTGGTATATATATTGAAAGTATATATGCTAGTGCTGAGAAGTTGCATGCCAGCGGGGTATGATATTGTAGACGCACTGGTTCTCGTAGCGTGAGCAGAAAAAATAAACGAACGGCGTGACAGAGTGTCGTCTGCTCCACCTTCAACCGAAACACGCGTAATGTCGGATGGCATCCGGAATGGGGAAATACATACAATCGAGCTCGAAAGGTTTCACCGTTAACAGAAGCAAGCAATTGTGGCAGACCAAGGTATATGAGAACACTTCGGACTGGTTGGGGGTGTGATGTGTGGCTTGTTTACCCGACTCTTTCCGGTAGCAAGGCAGGGCATGACGCGGGGACCATACTCCACACACAAGTTGCAATGGGTCTCGAGAACACTACTGGTATTCCTCAACGAATGATGTTAAGTGTGTTACGTTCAGTGAGCAGATTCTGTTCATGAGGATACATAGGCAGTACGTCAACACCTGGAAAACGTCTTGATATAGACTATTGTAAAGGTATGCCCAGTGTGAAAAAAGACACAATGTTTGCGTTGGTCGGCTCAACCAATGCCATGTTATGTAGCGGAATCATCTTTGCGATGAAACTGTTTTTCTCGCAGGATGGAATCAGAAGGTGTTGTCCGTACTTCGTGTGCTGCCTCGGGGAGCTGAACGATGTTGAGCTCGGAGCGGAGAGCGTGAACGCCTCCATTCTTCAAGGAAACCCGTGGCTCAAGGTACGGACGGGTGGTTCACACACACAGAAACGGGCCCGAGTGTTCTTGGCATGCCTGTTTGTCTTGACTGCGCACCAGCTGCCGCTAGAATCCTTCTTGAATACCCTAGCGCAAAAAGTACACCCTCTCTTGTTGCTATCAGCATGTTTCCGCTCTTTACTCGCTCTCTTCGCGTCGCCTCTCTCGAAACCTCGGCTATTCAGAGAGTTCTGCTTTCGGATTCGCCGGCATTGACGAACTCCAGTGACCGAGAGAAAAAACTGGTGCGCGCCGGGCGCATGAGGGCGGCGGCGGCCATGCTTACCGTCACGGATCTGGAAGTTCTGTCCGGTTTTCTGCTGCCCGTGTTGCAAGAAACCATACAAGGTGAGTTGACCATTGAGATACTGCGGGGTGTTTTGGGGGTATGCTTGTAGCAATGGGCTCGAAACGCATATGCTGTGGGTGGGGTGAGTGCGGTATTGAGAAAACTCCCGCCTTTTCCTTCGGCAGTTCCACAAAGAGCTTCTACCATGACGCGCAAAGACACCAGTGCCACAAGTTGTTTCTTGTAGGACATCAGAGACGCACTTTCATTTGTCCGGTAAGGATCTAGGTTTTCTTGTCGCAACAAAACTCTGACAGGAACAAACGCACAAAAATGGTGGTGCGATCAACTGCGCATACATACGTTCCACGCTGCCGCCGTCGCCACCAAGCAAGTTAACGAGGTAGCACCAACTTGTCTCCATACAGAAACTCAAGACGGCAGACCATTTACCCTTGGGAACCCGCCTCCCCCCAGGTCAAAACCGATTCTTATTCCGTGACGATGCTCGCTTTTTCTCAGAGGCGCAACGAGGTCGTTCCTCCGGTCTTACCCCTGCGGTTTACTGCCCTGCACGTCTCTTTTCCGCGGTGCCTCGGACTATCACTGCCCCCAACAATCGTTGTTGTCGGTTTCATGATCATCTGCGGCATGCACGACTCAACGAAACACCACCGAAAAAAGCCGAGAGTGGGTCCTGCACCACGGCTGGTGTTACGCGAGCGCGGCTAGCGGCAGTGCCGGGAGGGGCCGCCCGACACTCCTGCATCGTCAACGCCCTCGCCGACTTTCGAAGGCTCGTCTCTCAACAAGACAGAGAGGGGGGCGATGGGCACGATGAAGAAGTTGCCGGCGATGGAAACGGCAAGCCTGTTGCAGCGGACGCTGGTGAGGGGCAGGACGACAAGGCGCCCACGATAGCGACAGGCCCCCAGTAGATGTTGTTGATCAAAGGATGCAAGTCAGATAGTTGGCATGACCCCGGGCGTCTAGCCCCGAATACGTCTACGCCAATCCCGGAATCTTATTCTCTTGGCTGCAAATACTTGTGAATAGTGCAGGCAAGAACCTCTGTGACTCTCAAAAGAGATTCTTACGCAATGGATAAGTGAAAATTGCATGCGAAATTCCCTCTCAGCGCTTGCATTCATCGCTTACGCCGGAGCAGTCGTAACAGCGAGACATCGAGGATGACCCTGAAACCCACACAACAGTTCACCGGTTTACTACACTCCTCGTACGCACCCGGCGCGGACAGCAAGTACCCTCGGATATTGACGACAAAGGAACGTGCTCGATGTGCCTGTTCCGTCTGGCGAGCGGGAGATTGACCGCTCACGTGTATTACTTGCTTGCGTGTGCAAAGCCCAATCTTCGGGCGTGGTGACGCAGGGCACGGTTGTTCCGAAGCGAGGATTCATGACGGAACACGCCTTCTTCTACACTCGTGCCGCGTGCCTTCGCAGCGAGCTCCACCCTACCCAAAAAATGGTGAGGCTTTGGCTTGTTGCTCTAGTTGTGTTTCTGAGTCGTCGTGGTAGGGTCAGTCAGGTCGTTGGAGCGCGGTATCCGCCGCTTCCCACTGTAGTGACAAATGGCAAGTGTTGTGCTGCGGCGTACACAAAACCTGTAAGGACGAAAACGAGTGCTAAATGTTATCTGAACGTCACCCCCGTCGCCTCCGCGCACCTTCGGGGAACCCATCGCCGTGCTGACGCGACGAAGGGGGCAGGCGGGATTGCAGGGGCGATACGGTTCATCAACGGCAGCAAAGGGCGCATGATAAAGCTCAAGCACGAACTCGCCGCGAACACAAGTCGGTTTCGGCAGGGATACCAGGACGAAACGGTTCTTGTCTCGATGTTGTTGGAAGGTGACGAGTAGCGAAACATCGGTATATATAGTTTCTGAAAATAATGTAAGCGAACTCTGCTAAAATGCGCCACGACATCTACAGCTGGTCTTACCTTGCGGCGGATAAAGCTGTAATGGGGGAACAGGGGGAAACGGTCTACTTGAGATTCTGGGTCGTTCGCCCTGTACACGTTAACAACCGTGACCATAATCCCCACGATACGTGTGACGAACTTGTTCTCAGTCTTGAAGCTCGATTGAGTAGAATCGCGACTAGAAGGGGGCAGCCAAGTACAAGAACCAGCAAGTACACTATTCATGGAAACGAAATCGAATCCTCTCAATCCTTGTTCCCCGTGCCGCCCCCTTCCACCCCACCCGCACCGAAGACCTTTCCCGAGCGATAGACCGCTTGTACCCGATGCACACGGCCCCGGATCGTCTCGACTACGTCTCCCTCTTCCCGCACGCGTCGGCTCGGAACCTCCTCAACGCCGCGGTCGTCAAGCTCCCCGTCGTCCGCTACCGGGGTTTCCGGCCCGAACCCTCCGCCGTGACCGGCGGCGTGCTCGCATCCCCGGGGCTCGCAGTCTCCCCCGCTGCTAGCACCGCCGTTACGGCCGCTACGGCGGCTGCGGCCGCCGCTGCCGCGGCGTCGGCGGCGTGGCGGTTACAGCAGCGCCTCGAGTTTATTCCGTTCGAGGAGAGAGTCAAGAGGATGTCGGGCGAAGCGCAAGGGGGTGGAGATATTAGCTCCGCCGCTGCGGCCCATGCTGCCGCAGCCGATGGGGGGACTGCAGCAGCGGTGCGTGTCGATCTCAGCTTGGGAAGTGACGGCCGCCGAGGTACCGCTAGGTCCCTCGGCACAACGCCGGCGGAAACGGGCAGCGAAGGTACCCGTGATGGTGCGGCCGGCAGCGGTGCTGCGCCGGCCTCAACGCCTGCAGTCGCGGCGAAGAGGCTTGCCGTCGTGCTGGCAGATTACCTGGGAGACAAAACAACGATAGGCATGGTTGTAGTCGATCAGCCCGGCACTGGACTCACCACCGCCTTGCTCGGCTTTTTAGAGTGGTACTGCAGGGGGCAGGTTGCGGGAGGTCGAAAGGTGAGAACTGCGACCAAACCTCGTGGTACGGACGGCAGAGAATTTGTGTCCAACGTAGCTTTCACGAGACGACACAGGGGATTCTTGTGCCCATTGCCAATCAAGGGCGATGAGCTTGACGCCGGTTTAGCTTCCTAAACGCTCTTGAAGCGCAGACCAGCATCACACGGTCGGCTGAGAATGAGGGATGACGAGACAGTAGTACGGTGCCATAGCAGTACATCTAAGTCAAAAAAATCGAACACCAACCCCGCGTGAAAGGTATATCTACTTGTCACACCGAAGAGCCATTCCGCATCCCTCGGCCTTCCCACTTGGCTTTTACTTTCACCTGCGACGGTCTCAGGACTCGCCTTGTTTTACTTCATTGGTAGTTCCGAACCGGTTTCAAACTGTTTTTACAGGGGGTGACGGTCGTCGAGTCGCTAGACAGGATCCCACAGTACGGCCGCTGCAACCTGTCGCGAGCAGTGATTTCGAGGCCTCGGCTGGTCTCGCGCAATTTGAATGACGGAGGCCTGGCTGATGAAACGGTGGAACGGCGAACACTGGTGAGATGGGGGGGGAGGGGGGGTATGCACTACGGGAGATGTTCGATTCGGGAGCTTTGACAACTTTCTACACCGGTGCTCCCAGGTGACTGCTTGTTAGTCACGATCGCAGAGAAAATATCGTTGCCAACGAGTGACCTCGTTGCCATTGCTTACAACCGCAGGTGGTGCGTGTGGATTGCCGGGACCCTTGCCATGGCCGCCTTGATAAAGCGCACCTAGTGAACTACCTATCCTGTGAGATAATCCGGACATTCGGCATGCCCTACAAAATGCCGGACAAGCCCGGTCTCTCTAGCAGGTATCGTATCTATAACTGCAGGCTCGACATGTTTATTTTTAACCTCTATGGTACATATCAGTGGCGAAGAGGCGACGCAACGAATGTCGGTACGCTCGAGTTGAGATGTCGCGCGCTGTGGGTAGAAAGAGCTGCAGTTCGTGAGCGCACCCACTGGAAGGAACTGAAACCCTTAGCACTAGGAAATGGTGGACACCACGAAGGAAAGAAGGTCCACGGTGAGGAAATAATCCCTTTGCACCCCCTCGTCGGCGTTCCACAGTAGCTGCAGCAACAGTGGGACATATCGATAGTTGGCGTCTATGCATAGCAGCTATGACATTATCAGGCACGAGGAACTACTCATAGCGAAATGAGCTAGAATATAATATGAGACAGATGAGGTTGCACGGAAAAATGAAGATCATCCCCGGAGCCGCGACAACGACAGCGACAACTATGAACCACGCACAACGAACGTGCACAGCATTTAATACTTTTCAAGAGTTCTGATTTGTGAAGTTCAGGATATGGTTTATCATGAAGTACAGACACACATGCACACATCTGCTCAAATGCAAGCAACAGTCGACCGCCCCGACTTTCTACGGCCGACGAACAACAATGAACAAATAGGCCTGACACAGGGATCGTGAGTGAACAAACCTCAGACAACCCTCGGGAGCACAACCACGACGACGACGAAGCTGCTGTAGACCCTCAAGACCAGCTTGCCGCGGATACCGCGGCCCCTTCGGGCACAAAGAGTGGTGGGGGCACCATGGCCGTGGCTGCTGCGACGTCCGGCGGGAAGGGAGGGAAGGAGGGTGGGCGGACAGAGATAGGACCGGAGGTTCTAAGGCGATGGTTCGATGTTCTTCGTGGACACGGAGATTTGGTGAGACGCGGTATCACTAGCGTTTTTGGGTCGAAGGATGATGTTTGTTTCTGGCTGATGGGTGAGGAGGGAGGCGGGGCAAGAGCCAGCGATACAGTAGTGTCGTGCGCCAAATCCCCGGTAGGGTCCCATATGCCAAAGAAATGATTCCGTATACTGTAGTGTGTTTAGTTTCTAGGACGAGGAGAAGGAGGAGGAAGAGGAGAGGAAGCGTACGTCCGATGTTTGCTGATCAAACTTCTCACAACGAACGAAATTTCCTCGAAGCCGACGATTGCAGTAGAGACCTTCGGCGATGGCGCCATTCAACGCAGGTCGTAGCATCCGACGAAGAGGGACGGTCGTGAAACATACCTTCGCCTCCGCCTTTGGACTATGCATCGCTATATCGACACGTTATTCGACCATCGATCATGAGACTTTGCTTGGGGGGTACTTGGCTATCGCAGTCACAGATGACAGCGAACCACGCGTTCCTTCTCTACTTGGAGAAACCCCCAGAGAGCTCTCAATAGCCCAACTGGTTGAGGGCTGAACCTAAAGTTGTGTTTACGTGTTCGGCAACACCTGTACACGTGTCGTGCAAGCAAGGTTCTCGTCATCGAAAACCCGGACGCCCTCGTAACTCCCGAGGAGCGGGCCGCCGCTTCCCCAGAGCAAGTGCCAAACCCGCTGGCGTGGCTCCCTCCAGAGCTGCCGCCGCATGTCAAGGTACGCCAATGACAATCGACAGTTTTCCTTTCCCGGTAGAATGGCGCGACGTCCTCTTGTACAGCTTTATTTTTGGGAGGGCTAGGAGGAGGAGGAGGAGGAGGAGGAGGAGGAGGGGTTCCGTGCACACTTTGTGTGATGTGTTTAGATAGAAAGAATCGGCGCAAAAGAACGATTCCCCTCAGTTCCTGGGGCGAGCGAAAGGAAGAGAAGATACGATCTCAAGCACGGGTGAAGGTGTCCACGTTTTTCCCGTTTGTCTCTACGCTCCGAGACGAGTCCGCAAAGCTATTTGTGTGTCGTGGTTGTTACTCCTTTTTTTCTTCGTGGTTGTACGCAAACCATGTGGGGTTACCAAATAGACCCTCTCCAACACTTCACACCATAAACAAAAACATTCTAGGTTATCACGACATGCTCAACGGGGAGCTCTTGCCAGCAGCTTCTGTGCGGGGCCGAGGGCTGGGGGTGGCACATGCTAAGAAGGAAGGCCGGTCTGGATGCCGACACCAAGGGTCAGGTGCGTGTACAGATACTCTTTGGGGGGAATGATACACTACTCTAGCAGCGGCACAGATGGCAGTTGTGGCGACAGGGTGGTCCTGATGGTTAGTAAGCGATTTACGTACTTCGCTGGGGAGGTTGGACTTTGTCGACAGCGCACAAGTCTCATTTTCCGCTATTGCAAGGAAGCCGCCGTTGACACGGTCGATCAGACCCACAAGATATTTAGTGCCTGTTAGAACAGTCCGCTGAGGAATCTTCGGGCTACAAATCATTATACATCATTTTCACCAACAAGGTGGAAAATTTCAGTAAAGAACGCGCGTTGTTCTTCATTCCGGGAAACGGCCCAATGTGCCGTCAACACACATCTTGGCGTGGTTATCAGGTGATCGATGCGGTGTTGAGGAAGCACGGCGTCGGCTGTATGCTGGACTGGGTGGAGTCCGACCTCGTCCTTAAGGAGAAAACCGCCAACATTCAGGCAAGGGCACATTTTCGAATGCACTAGGAAGCCCGCCAATTGCTTCTTCGCTGTGTGTTTTGTCATTCCAGAACGATGGTGTTAGAAATATCGTCAGCTCGAAAAACAACTTGAGGTGGAAACACGTCTCTAGGGTGTATGTAGAGAGGGCGAGAAAAATCTGCTATCCTCATAGGCTACTCCCTGGTTGCTTTATGGCTGCACCGATTGCTCCCAACAATCTCGACGACAACGCAAACAACGACAAAGCACAATGAAAATGCGCAGTTTCTGGTAGGAGTGACGGAAGCTCTCTGCTACAGCGGCAAGCTGGCTCGCTCCGGGCTCCCTCCCGGTCTCCACACAGCGGCTAGCGCCGGCTCGAGACCCGCCTCGCCATCGTCGGTATCTTCGGCAGCTGCCTGCCGCTCAAATTCTGGTTCTTGTACTAGCGCCGGTAAGGGCGAAAATTGCGACGGCGGTGGTGGCGGCGGCGGCGGCCTGAGCGACGCAGACGTGGCCAGCCTACGCGGGGCGGCTGCCTCGATGGTGAGGACGGGAGGGTGTTATATTTCTGGCTTCTTCATAAATTTTCGTTTCTTTGTCTATGCGTAGGACATCTGTTTCTTGTCTACAGGAGATGGTTTTTGCGTCATGTATCCATTTGTCGAGGTAAGTGAAAAGTTGCTACAACACAAGTCAACTTGGTCGTCGACCTCCTTCAGTCATGCTCGCAGAAAGAGCACAAAGACCCGCAAGCACTAGGCAGTACCGTGGAAAACCGCAACCAGGTATGACCCTCCACCACTAGCATCCTCGTTGTCGACGTTCGGCAACCGTCGTATCATGGCTTCGAGAAAAACATTTGGCAACTTGCTAGACCGGCGTTCACATCACCCATTGGTACCTTGCTGCCACTCGATTGGAGCATTGGCCTTCGGACGTATACAACTTTGCTAGACCGCCGTTCGCACGATCCATTGATACCTTTCTGCCACTAGAGGAGTCCTGACCCATTCACGAACACCTCCACCTTGCCCCGTCCCGGTTTTGACCCACACACCCAGATGCACGAGGAGTCGGCGATTGGTGTGGCGAGGCTTCGGATCCGCCAGCTGGTGTCTATCAAGGGTCACCGGGGAAGTTTGCTGCGCGCGGCCCTGTGCCTGGTAGGTTAAGCACTCTGATCGTGGTATCGCCGGTGGTCGGTCGGCATCGCTGTTCTCACAACCACGTGGAGATTCAGCGGGCGGGGTCAGGGCAGTTGTCCGTGCTACGTCCTTGTGTGTTGAGGGCTAGACTTATGTGTACGTTCTCTTTCGCAGCTGGCTCATCCAGCTCGTCGCGGCAACTCTCTCCCGCTCGGCGATCCTCGTTCCTCTCGCCGGCCAAAAAGTTGTCGGGAAGCAGGTCTAAGCTTTGCGTCCTGTTCCCCCCCTTTTTTCCGACACATACTGTTGGCACGGTTTCCTCCTTCCCTCCCGATTCGCAACGCAGGTTCGCCTTTCCCACGCAGGCCTGTCTGTGCTTGAGCTGAGTGCCGCGCTACGCCACATCTTAGAACGCTACAAGAGTCAACGCCATCAACATCACAAGCCACCGCCGTACACAAATGTTACGGCGTCAGCCGCGGGGTCGGGGACGGGGGGGCGAAATACTGGTAGCAGCAACAAGGGGCCAGGAAACAGCAGCAACGTCCACGACAACACCAGCAACAACGGCAATAACAGCAACTCAAGCAACAGCAACCCGTCCTCTTCCCAAACAACGACCACGGCATCAGCAAGAGAACCACCAGCGAGAGAGGCAGCGGTGGCCACCCCAACGACACGGCAATCCCCCGCCTCTACGTCGCCACAGGCCACAGGGAGCCCTGAAACTCCCCCGAACCCCGGCGCCTCTGCCGATACCACGAAAGACAGGAACAACGACTCCGGTCTTCCGGACGCACCGCGAAAGTCTGTAACTACAACCGACACAACGGCGACGACGGCAACGAAGAAGAACACTACCACCTCCGAAGAGGTAGGAGACGCGTCGATGGCGCACGCAAGCTCGACGGAGGTGGGAGGAGGAGGGAAACCCGGGGCGGCGACGGCGCCGACGGCAGCGGCGAAGCAACCGCCAGAGAGGGGGGGCAAAGGGGCGGCAGCACTGGGGGAGCATGGCCTGACCAGCTCCAGCCCTAGGGCTGAGCGGACCCAGAGGCCGGCCTTCGGGCAGCAGGACTGGAGGGCGCTCGAGCCCGACTTGATGCAGTTCTGTCACAAGGTGTGCCACTCATGAGCGAGAGGGTACGTGTTCCGTCTGAAGCTCGGATGTGCATGCAGACAAGATATACGACACGCGCATGGACTCACGGTTTGGGCACTGCTGAGTGGTGCAGTGTAGGAACCTTGTGCGCGTGGGGAATGGGACGGGGGGAGGGATGGCGAAAAAGGGGGTGCTGTGTGCACCAACACAAGATCGCGCACGAGCAGAACGCCACGTATGTGAAGTCGTTTTCCGCCATTCCTACTGGGCGTGTAGTGTGTCTCTACCGGTGTGGGGTGGAGTTAGTCATCCGTTGAGCTACTCTAGCGTCGGCTTTTGTTCGGCATGGCTAGGGTATCTTCGAGACCCTGTACCCCGCTCCTCAATAACGCCACGAACACGTCTCGGTCCTAACATATCGCAGGTGCTCGGTCGTTTCGTCCTCCGCGACTTCGTGACCGTGACGGCGGTGGACTTGGAGTGCCTGGAAACCCGGGATAAGTTCGTGGTGAGGGCACAGCAGCATCAGCAACCACAACCTGCAACGGCTCACGGCCCGCTGGGTTTAGGGCACGTGACAGGGGCACCCTCGTCGTCGTCGTCTGGTTCCAATGGTGGTGCTGACGCAGGACCCACGGAACACAGATCTAAACATTTTTACTATCAGGTGTTGGCAGACAGTTTCGCCAAGGATTTGCCCGGGGTGCGCCGCGCGGAGGAGCAACTCGCCGCCCTCGCGGGTGAGCTACATCTCGAGAGCCTTTGTTCGTATCATCTTCTTTCAGGGAAAATTTATAATGCCGCAACCATGGTGTGTCAATATGTCAATAAATCGAAAGCTCAGTCTTTCCTACGCGACTAGAAAAATTCTGATGTTGAAGGCATTCCAAAGGTAAACACACATAGCACAAGTTGTCAAAAGGGTCCGATTCAACCTCCACCCACCGTGCATGTGACCGGTCCAACGCCTACATCGAGGAACTTCGCCCCTGGTACATGTGTCTTACTCGGCGGTGAAATCCCGACGTCCCCAGCCTTGGTTCTGGGAAGAAGTGAGCGCCGTGTATGGCAACAGCACTGATTGTATCCCCCCACCACGCTGCTGTCGTGCCCCCAAACCAGCTATTGTCGTCCTTTCGACCCACGGCGGGGTGGAAGCTCCCCGGCGGGCGTCTCGGCCTCACAGGGAAAAACTCTTCACCGCCTTGGCCGACGTCGAGCTCCTGTACGCCATGAACGGCAGCAAAAGGTGCCCTCGCTACAAGTGCTTGGTAGACAAACACGGCATAGTCACGGGATCGCAGCGCATCCTCCATTCTCAACACCGTCTTAACAACCCCCCGCCCCAACTGCCTGGGGCCACGTTCTTGTTTCTCTGTGGAAAAAACAACAAACCTGTTTTTCAACAAACAACACAAGGGGCGATCCACAAGCGTACCTGGAGTACATGCACCTTGCGCATGTCTTCGCCGCTCCCCGCCGGTTCGCCGCCGCCGTTCGGAGCACCTTCGAGGAGTACTACAACGTCGTCTCCCACAAGGCGATGGGCTTCCACGGGAGAAACCACCGTGAACACTACCAACACCAAGCGCGGGCGGCGGCGACTCATGACGTGAGATCTCACACAGCCGGGGATGTGTTCTTGTTGTTTTCTGCGGACTGCTACGGCGATGAGAATGTTGGTGCTCTTGCGTTGTCGATTGAGATCCCATGAGAGCACGCGTTCCACGATGGTGGCGCGTACACTTCTCAGTATACCGTAACCTCGAAGGAACGGCAGAGGATCTTGTACGTGCACATGAGTTTCCTGCAACAAAAAAAATGGGTTAAGAACTCAGATTCGACGGTAAAGGAGAGGTATTTGGACGAGTTTTCGGTTGGCTACAGTAGTTCGAAATGCATGCGAGAAAATCTGCTCCGTTTTTTGGGTGCACCCACATTGTTGTATTTCGTGTTCTCGATAATGAGCGCCCTGTATTCCTCTGCTTTGTGTCTCAGTCACGATTTGAAACAGTGGTGGTCCAGCAACCCGTTCACGACCGGCACCTCTGTCGTGCGTACGCCCGGTCTACCCCCTGACCCCCTCGCCGGCTGGTCTTCGTCACGCACTCCCGCCCGCGCCCGACCCGACCCAATACACACAGCTTCTGTACACGGTGCACGGACTAAAGCACCCCGTAGCAGCGCGCCAGCCTGGCGGTGGTGGCGGAAGTGGCGGCGGCAAACCCGTCGGCGGCGGGCTTTCCGAATTGTGCAAGGTGCTGGCAGCGCGCCGCCGGCAAAAGCAACCGCCTCCGCCGCCCTTGACTCGTGCGGGGGCCTTGCGCCTGTTGGAGGCCGCGAAACTTGTGCTGGAGAGATTGGGAGACGCGGAGGAGACCATGAACCTCGCGGAATCTGCCTGGGCGCTAATGTTCGGGTGACGAATGAAAAGACTCCACGCGGCTGAAAACACATTTTTTGTCGAAACTTAGCCTGGGCGGGGTAACGTCGCCGTCCCGAACTATAGAGCTTTGGATTAATCTCCTCTGCACATTTACAAAATCGTACGGAAATGAACCCCTTTCCCTCCCTTCCCTCCTAGTGACGATTAAGTTTGTCCGCCTAAACATACACGTACATATGCCAATCGAGATTCGCTTGATTGCAGACATGGGTGGGGTTTGGTTTGCAGTGTAACATGCTTCAATTTGTCGGAACACCGTGGGAACCTGTACGTCCGTCTTTGATGCCGTTCGTCTCCACCTCTGCCGCTCCGCACGACGTGACTGTCACACCACATGACGGGGCACCCCGCACAACTGATGATACCACCACTGCGGTACCGAGACACCAGAGTAAGCGAGTTGACAGACGAGGCATTCGGGAGGGTCATAGACATCTCCTTTCCGGTGGACAAGATCGTTGATTGCCTCCGGTACGTTTGGTATGTGAGGAGCTTTTCCGAGGGCGCAAGTTGGCACTGTTTCGGATTGGCCTATAATAGACGTCCACGTGGAATGAAGAAAAGGTCGTGATTCCGTCGAGTACGGCCTTCGCCTGGCTGCGTGGAGAATTCGGACGCGAGACCAGTTGTTTCCGGCAATTTTTTGGCTCTCGAATGAACCAAACGGTCAAGCCTACATGAGAATCATATGTTTCTGTTATTTGGAGCGTTCTCATGCTAACAATTTTGGTGTTTGCAAAGCATTCACCGGAAAGGGAGCCCGCTGTTACCAAGTTAGGATCATGTGCCTCCCGCGCGCCATGCTGGGCCAACGTTCACACCCTGTGGAAAAGGACACGCTTCGACGACCTATTAAGACATCGAATTCGCAGCAGAGGTATCATACTAGTATAGCGTGCAGTCAAAGCGTGTCGGGCTGCTCATGTTCCCAGCGCACCTGTGTTCACAAACCAAAGGCAGTCCTCTGATCTTTCTCGCTTCTTCAAACTCGTACTCGACCGAACTCCATCTGACAAGCAAAGAGACACACACACAGCAGATTAAGAGACGAAACAATCAAAACACCGCCTTTCTGTGTCCGAACGTCCAGGATCCTCGCCGGAGTCTACGTCTCTCGCGGGTTTGACATGCACCTTCTGTTATTCCACGAAGCGGCGCAGACAGAATCCAGAAGCGACGACAGCAGCAGCTACTCGGCCGGCAGTTCCGCCAACCCCAGCAACCCCTCGTCAACGAAGCCTCCAAAAGGAACGGGTCCGACAAACTCCCCGGCGTCGCCCGACGGGTCAACAAGATCGGGGAACGCCGGTCAGGAAAATGGCGTGGGCGGTGCCGGTACGCAGAGCAAAACCGAACTTGGAGTCAGCGGCACAACGGGCATGGGCCAGCGACATTCCATGGCAGTTGAAGCAACGGGGGTTTCTGGGCTAAAGGTGCGGTGTGACGCAAGTAGCAGTAGCCTGGACGGCAGCGGGGGGTCTTCGAGGCGGACGGCGGCGACGGTGACCGGGAAGACCGGAAGGTTTGCAACGGCGGGACGGCTCCGAGAGTTTCGGGCGATGCTCAAAGGCGCCGCTGCGCATGCATCGAAGATGAAGGTAACAGGATTTGATTTTTGATCGACCTTTACGTCTACGTCTACACGTTTCGGATTTAAGAGGGGTTTAGACGTATCCGCCAGGATATGCAATGACGGGAATAATGATGTGGTTCTTTTCACACTGGCGGAACCCGTTTCAACGCACCAAGGGGAGTTCCGTGTCTTGTTAAATGTTATACGGCAACCGCACGACGTCCGACAGTGTTATCCTTAAACTTTGCTAGACAATCGCCCGAGTACGCGCTCCCAATTTGCTGCACGGTGCACATGGAGAAAGGTTTGACACAGAAATGATTATCATGCCCAACGGCGGCACAGCAGAAAGTTGAGCCCTTGTTCAACGACGACCCCCTACTCAAGTACTTCAGATCGATGACATCCAATTCGATACATGGCATGCTGGTCGGCCGACATGTGTAACATGGGGATGTACTCCAGCAAGCATCCCTGTGTCGTTCGACGCGACGACACCATGCGGTCGATGTACGTAAGCCTGTCGGCGTAAGCATTATCAGTGAATCGTGACTTACACGTACGTACACCGCCGACCTGTTTCTTACTCTGTGGCGTTTTACTATCCCTCCCGGCTTTGATCACAACGCAGACGGCTCACGCTAACCGAGAGCTGAGCATCGAGGGCGCTGTACGAGGGCACGACGTCGACGCGGCGGTTTTGAATAAGTCCACCAACCCCGGAAGACAGACCAAGCAACAGATCGGGCGGGTGGCCAGAGCCAGAGAGGCTGTAGATGGCATGCTTACGAGGTGGTAAGTGGTACACTGTCGAAAATATCTTTGTCCTTCAGGTTGGCTTTTGAGCTCTCAGAAGTGGTGACCCCTCTTGACTCTCTTTCCAGTTGTTGAAGAGAACATGCAAGCGCTCATTTTACCGCGGAGCTGCCCTCGTTAGTTTGCCAAGCTGCGGAACACCACACGAGAACGGCAAAGATCACAAACAAAACACGCCCACCCGAATCATCTTCACGGCCTGACGGATGGATGTACTCCAAAGGCCCCTGGTGATCGAAAGGATGGGTATCTGCACGGAACAGGCTATCAAGATACGAAACCTGGTGAAAACAGCGGGAACATTTCCGACAGGGGGGTTGGCGGCAGAGAACACCGAACCAGCGGCGGCAACCGCAGCGGGCTCAAGCTCTACGAACGATACCCGTGCGTGCGAAAGGCGTAGAGCGGCCAAGGAGCACGCGCGGGTCGTCGAACAACACGCTGAGATATTGACCCTCAGCCAAAGGTCAGACGAACCGGCAGAAAAAGGCTACATGTCAGCAGCGCCGGGCAAGGCGCCGCCTGGCTTGTGCTCTGGTAGCCATTCATGATCGTTATTGCATTTCCAGTTGCTGGTGCCCAAGAATCGTGCTTTCTGACAGAATTGATTGGATGAAACTACTTGTAGTGGGCGGTGGCAGATAGAGAGTAAACTTCGGGAATAGTTGCCGGCGACCATTGTAACTGACGCGCAAAGACTACCTACCTGTCCGCCTTTGCAACGTTCATTAAGGCTATTGCCTGTCAACTTATTCTACCATCCTGGTACACAACGTAAGAAATCGCGCACGTACGGTCTTGTGTCGTAACGATAGGAACGTTGTTTTCCACCTGTGCCGTTGTTTCAACACTGAACACCCTGAGAACCTGCTTTCACGACCCCCCCCCCCCATTGAAGTGTTCGGAGTAGAAATAGAGTAGGTTGGCCTCCAAAACAAGCTCATTGCCGAGCCTACAGAACGCGGAGTTAGGAACTTGAGGGTTCTAACACACTTTTACATTGTACATGGCCTATGACCTTGGGGCCTACCCTAAACCAACCTATACATTCTTCGTTGGTTTCCGCGCGGAGGATACAAGAGGCGAGGGTTTAAAAAAGGAAGGTTACCAGAGTGGGGCGTCGTTCCGTGAGGGCTAAGCATCCCAGGGAAGTTGTGCTGATTTACCGTCGCACACGCTACACGCGTACCCCGTGTTCACGCTCGCTCCTGTTGCCAGATTTGAACGAGTGGCGTCGGCCATTCAGCGAAGGCAGGAGGAGCGGGAGTACCACCGACTGGCCGCCCTCGGCCTCGTTCCTCCGGGGGTGTCGATAAGCGAGTTCAGGGACCAGCTTCGATCGACGACGACGACCGCCGCAATGACAAGAGCACCTTCCTTCTTCGAAGATCACCACTACCAGGGGAGATAGAGATGTCCCTCGTGGCTCACCAAGTCGGAGAAGACGCAAAGAAGTGCATGCCCTCCCCAATGATGTCTCTCTGTTTGTCGATCCTTTTACATTTCTCAGTTACAACTGCGTAGCGGTAGCCATAAGATTGAAACCAGTTACTCTTTGAGGGCGAACTCATGCTCCTGTCTGTCGCGGTGACAACATTGCGCTTCGGGGTAACTGGCAGACAGGGAAGACTGACTGTTCAGTTAGAGAGGAGGTTCTACTTTCTTGCTCACTGCCTTGTGTGTGATCGAAATTTAACGCAGGCTGTTCGTGTGACCCGGGGCATAAAAAAAGAACTGGTGTAAACGTCGTAGTCATACCGAAATAGCTCAACAGGCCCACGTGCTCTCCACAAGGCTACTCTTTCAAGGCCAGAACACCACGCAGCGCCCGACACGTTAGCTTGTGGGCGTGACTGCAACAACTCTCCAGACTGTGGTAGGTCTGTACACACCATCAATTCGAACCACGCCACAACCAAACTGCAATATTTCGGTTGTGAAAACGTCACAAACGCCAATGGCCAACCTGCTGCATCAGGCTCCCCGCAACAACAACCCCCCCGCATCTTATTCGACGAAGAATGTCGCCTACAAACAACACGCAGTGACCTGAAGTTCCTACGGCCCCGTACGCGGCAAGTCCATACCAACCATACCAACCACCGTGTGCCGGCCCAACGCCCGCATATCATGAGAGAGGCTAGACCTCTTTCTAACGTCAATTCCAATTATGTTTATGTCGAATATACATACTTACAACGGCTCTTGACTCCTCAAGAAACAACGATTTCCAGGGACGTCCAGTCACGAACCGTCAAGTTTTGCAACATGTTCTCAAAAGTGCCCAAGGATGTTCCCAGCAGGTGTCATCAAGTAATTGTCCCACATGTTCGACCTGGGTCGAAAATGGAGTCAACTTTAAAACGCAGACAGCACAAGCTCTTCCACCTCCCGTAGACTGCCTGTGTGATCTCTGAGTCGCTGCTGACCCCCATCAGCCTCCCGGAACAACAGAGGGGGTACGCCAAGGGCGCCCTTCATCCTTCTGTGTCATTCGTGATGGAAGCGGCAGCGGAACGAACCGGTAGGGGCACGCATATGGGGGATGGGGTTGGAATGCGTAGTTGAAAGCTTTGAGCGGTGGTTCTGACTACGAATGAAAAAAGCAAAGGAGAGGAGACAGCGCGCAAGAACTCGCCAATGAGCTGAGCAGGTGGTCGCCTTGAGCCTGGAGCTTCAAACACTCTTGAACGTGGCGCTTTCTGCTCTCCGCATCGCGATTGCAATTGAGAGCACACAGTATGATTTGTGGCGGCGTAAAACAACTGCTGCCAAGAAACTCTATTGCTAGTTGTTGCCCACCCGCAGCTCACCCGGCCTCGGCGTCCCCCATTATGGGGTCCCCGTTTCCATGCACGATCGCTAGCCATGGGCAACCCCTCCGCACCGCCGGCCACACGTAAGCTCTCCCATGCCTCTCGCCAGCATGGTACATCTCTCCGCCCGGGCACACGAGCACGGCGCCCCAAACCTGTTCACCGTGGTTTCTGATCTTGAGATTCACGGTTCGCGAAAACGCAAGCGAAACTTGGAAATACCTCAACAAAACATACTCCTAAAAGCAGTATGCAAGATTGTTTTCTCTCCGTCTTTTGCATCAAAAGCTTGTAGTACAACGCACGTTGTGACGAATCTACAGATCGGTGCACAACTTGCTGCTGCTGGATACCCAGGGCAGACTGAGTCCACATGCTGAAGCACTGGATCTACCTCAGCTTCTTCGTCAAGTCTCCACTTCAATATACCGTAACCTCGCCAGGAACTGGGTTTCGTTTCTTCTGTGCAGGAGTAAAAGAGCCCTGCGGACAGCAGTGAATCGACTCACTTCATACTTTTCGACGAAGCGCAGAACGGCGTCCGCCGCTGTGCCGTGGGCAACCACCAGAGTGCCAGGGTCAAGTGCTAGCTCATCCGCCATGAAATTTAACCAAAAGGTTTCGTACCTGAGACAGCGGTGAACGAATACATGGACGTCGAATCCGATGTACACGCCGTCAAATAAAGCATTTTATTCGCAGGCAGCGGAAACGTCAAGATCTCGCTCGACATACCTTGAAAAAATGTCATCGTAAAAGCCGCCGCTACAAGCCAGCGTTTGATGACAGCAACAACTGCCGTCAGCTTTGTGCGTTGGTGGTAGGCATGCCGATGGGTCTTGGAGGTGGTGTGCCTTCGTCTCCGGTCATTGATCCCCGTTTGGATCGTTTCTTTCAACGGGTCGAGCTCTTCATCCGTTGCGATGCTTACAAGAATACGCTTCAGCATTTCTTTATTTCCGTGCACACATAAGGGACCGGCAACAGCTTACGCAACCTACGACTTTGACATTTATAGGGGCGCGATGGTTATCAGAGTGGAAACCCTCCTCCACTATTTTCATTCGAAGGTGTGAAAGAAAGTACTAAACACAAGAAAAATACGATTGCGATAAGCATCCTATGCTTGTCGCACTTTACGGATTTGACCACAACAGTTTTACCACAGCGGCCGTACACACAGGAACCAGCAGTCATCCACACGCCCTTCCTTGCAAGTGTACTCACCGCTTGGTGTTGAACGAGTAAGGGTCGGGCATGTCTTCAATAGTCACTTCCACGTCTTTGTCGGCCACCACCACGTTTGCCTGCATCATATGAAAAAAAAAAAAAAACATTTTCTTACGGGAAGCGCGAAATCGACATGCATGCATGTAACGACGAGGGCCGTAGCGAGAGGGCTAACCAACTGGCTGAGCCCCGACCCCTCAGGACCACAGAACATACACACTGTCGTAATGTATGCATAGCTATATTGGCAGCTGAAATCATACCCTCGCCGTTCGTTGTTGCATACAACATTTGCTCATGAGAGTACCTCGCCAAACGGGTCGGCGCACGGTGCTTCTTTCTTACCCCTGAAGCCATCGTATCCCTCCCTCCCTCTCTTTTCAGCAACAGCAGCAGCATCTCCCCCCCCCCCGTCTCTCTGCGAAAGTACCGAGCACTTGCAACACACCTTCAGATGGTGGTGCCAGCAGTCAGGATTCGACAGGTCGGCTCGAGCGTCGGGGAGGATCAGCAATCGCCGCGGGGCCTTCGGCCGAGGAGAGGCTGCCGCAGGAGCAGCAGCAGAGGGAACGGCGAAGGCATCGGCCGGTTGACGTGGTAACTGCGGCGCCAGCAGGGCAAGAGATAAAAGGATTCGGCGGGGCTGCAGCATGTCGGACGCCTTGGCCAAGAAACTACAATTGACGCCTACGAAGAGCCTTCCATCTCCTGCAAGGCGAGGCCAAAGGAGGGCGAGGAAGGGTAAACAGAGACAGAGTAAACATGTGCAGCAGCAGCAGTATTCAGCGGTGTGATAATTCGTCCACGGGACTGTCAGCTTTGCCAGGGGTTCTCTGGATGTACTACCTGCCATCTGAACTGTTGCTGACGCGGTGCACGTCAGCCTGCCTCGTCGTGGTGCACTGCAAAAGTGTGTTGCCCTGTCTCTGCTCTGGGGTTGCCAACGTGAGGCACCAGGAGGTGTGAAGCGTTTCGACCAGGCTGCATCACGATGGCATCCGCTACTAGAAAGCTTTATCTGGTAGCGATGATGATCTGCGCGACGTCGTTGCGGTGTGACGCGTTCTCTACAACAAGCTCGTGCAGCAGTAGCAGGGTCGCCGATCAGCACATCATGTCGAACAGCCCTACGACTCGGAGGACGGGGCGAGGGCGCTGCGGAAGCTCAATGGAGATGAAGGGAAGGAACGAAGACGGACAGAAACGAAGAATAAGCAGCAGCAGCAGTGGCAGCGTGAACCGGGGTGGCTTCGTGCGAGCTGCAGCCGCGGCAGCGCTCACTCTAACCGTTGCCGGGCATCGAACGACGTCTCCCGCACGGGCCGTTGGCGTTCAGCCCGGAGAGAGAACGACCGCTCCTCCCAACGCGTTGCTCCTTGTTCCTGCTCTTCGCGCGAAGGTGTGTGGACCCAAGAGTTATCTAGCTGTTGCGAGGGAGCAGATCAACAGCAAGAACGCAAAGGTATCGCTGGAAGCTGCGAAACACATGTTTCTGACTAGGCACACACTGCGACGTACTTGACGGCGGTTACCCGAGACCGTATCCTGCATCAGTCCACTAGCTGGTGTCCACTGTTCTCTGCCGGTTGTAGATACTGCGTTTCGCGCATCGAGAGTGCATTTTACTAGCAATTTACATAGCACCGTCGTGATTCCAGCAGTCCCTTGTAATAACCATTAATTCATCGCCATATACCTACTTTGCCTTGAACTTGCAGAAGTACACACCACAATCCACCAATAAATACGACGAGGTGCCGAAGAGGGACATGCTAGAAGTCCTCACGTTGACGAGATTGTTCCGGCAGGCGTCGTGTCCTTCGCTACGTGGACGTTCCTACCCACCCTTTGAGTCCCGTTTTCGGTGGATCCTCGATCTGAAACCTCAACTTGGTCTGCGGCCGTGCTGGTGATATTTGTCGTGGTGAAATGACCGAGACTGGAAACCCGTGACTCTAAATAGGCGTTTTCCCTGATTTCTGCATCCTCCGGGGTGCAACCTGGCACTGCTTCATAGTTATTCAAGCAGTTGGTTGATTCTATTCGGGTGCAGTGCACGAACTTAGGGGTTATGACAAACCGATCAACCCAAGATAGCTGCCCCCAGCGTGCTCTCCTCCCGCGTTCAACCTTCCCCCGGGTCTACAGGACTGCCTACAGTAGTACGCAAAGCAAGTTTATTACAACACAGGGGGCACGCAGACCCTATAACCCTAACCCTAAACCTAAACCTAACTTAGCCGAATTATATATACTTTATCCAGTATGTTTGCTTGCTTCGATTAGCCTGCGTAGACTACCGCTTCGACCTGTGCACCAACCACCCCGTGCAACGCCTTTCGGATATGACGCTCGCGCGTATCTACGAATAACATTTTCCAGCTCGCGGTCCAGAGCGTGCTGAAGCTGATGAAGGACCCAGAGAAGTGGGGCGAGGCTCGCGAGGCCCTCAAGTCGCCCCCGTTAGCCCCAGCCGACTTCAAGGAGTGCTTCCGGACGTACAGCGACGCGGATCCCGAGCAGCACTTGGCGTTCGACCTCTACCGCATACAGGCGCAAGACGCCCTCAAGGTGGATGACGACGTAGCTTCTGCACGATGTACGGCAGCCTTTCCTGCCAGCGCAACCCGTTGGCAGTAAAGTTGGCGCGGGTGCTAACAAACCAAGGCGCGGAAGGACTGCCCCCGCTATATTTTTCTTTTTGTCCCGTGTGTGATCCTCCTGAGAAAAATACAAATCTCGAGCAAGCGCTAGACTATTTAGCAATTTGTTTTGTCGCGCTGACAGCTTGAACCGCACATTTGCAATCGCTTCGTGTCTGCATACGAATTGCAGCTGCGCGATAAATAGGAAACACACGATCAGTCCTCCACGTACTACAGCTGTTACGACGACAAAGAAGCCTCTCGATCCACCTGTTGAATGCTGCCGTTCTTGTAGGCATAGGCGGTTCTTAAATCTGACGCAACGACGCCAGCCGGTGGCGCGCGTTACGTACGTACGTCATCCCTGCTCGGTCGTGTAGAGCACCTATTTTCGGCGTACGCTTTACAGCACTCACCCGCGCGAAGAATATGACCGTTTGGATTATGGTGGCGGAATGCAGACCTCCCCAGCTGCTCTTTAGTGTCAGAAAACAGTCTTTTAGACTGCGAGTGAGTGTCGAAAAGCGCATACCGTACATCAACGGCTAGCTTCTCTATTTGATTGGGCAACGGATGTTCCTACGTACCGCCCTCCGCGCTGCTGGCGTCGTTTCGTGTAGAGGTCGTTTGTGCCGGACTTGGGAACCAGGCAACATAAAAACGAATCGGTGTTGTTGTTGCAGAATTTCGGGCAGTCAAAAAGCACCGTCTGACGTCCATCGCCGAACGCCTCGGCCCCGGCCAGCAAAAAGCGTTTTCTGTTGATGTTGTGCACGATGAGCGTCTTTGTGTTGCACTGCGCCACAACAACATGGAATGGTGTGTTGCATGCAGTTGCTGAAATACAGCGTAGCCGCCGTGCCCGAGGCCCGTGCCGCAACTCACAGGCGTTTTGTTGATCTACTTAACGGGCGCATCACCCCCTCTGTGGGCTCCGGCCTCTCTTACCGTACTTAACTAACGGGCGTATCGCTCCCTCTGTGGACACCAAAGCGTTGGAGTGGAAGATAAGACAAATTTACAGCTCCTGGCTCACCCTTTTTTTTTTTGTCTTTGTTGCGTTGTTCTTTTGTTTCTGGCGACAACGAAACACGCGTTGGTTCCTTGCAACATAACACTACAACTCCCAGGCGGTCTCCGAGCTGCTGGCGTACCTAGCGTCCGAGAAGAACAAGGGCTCCAAGATAGACCGTGAAGACGTCGAAGACCTCGAGGAGGCGGGCCGCTCGGTGCTGCAGGGCATAGACGATTTCCTGGCCCTCGCCCCACGCGAAGACGTCTTGATGGTGGCAAAAAACACCGCTGACCAGGCGCGCACCGCCCAGACGGCCAGGCCAAAGAGCACGGATGCACCGGCGGCGTTGGGGGGGGGGCGGGAGCTGGAAGGCGCCGTTATCGGGGAGGGGGCGTTTGTCGCGGGCGCCTGGGTGGGAAAGTAAATATTTTCTCAGTGTTTTTTTATCAATTTTAGTATGATGGTTAGGTTTGGGTTTGTACTTGCAGCTCTTTTATGTTTTGAGTTTGGTTAGATGAGAAGTCCATAGATGTACACGAATAGGACTAGTTACTTGCTGTCGTAGGACGTTACGACACCGCTGCCGTTTTTGTATATCCCCTTGCTGCCGGGTGTTCGATGGTAGGTGTCCGTTTTAAACTATCCTGACATTTTCCTGAATGAACGTGGAGGCCACCTTGTTGCCTGGCTAGCTCTACCGGACGGAGTGGTGTATTTCGTGATATTGGTGCAGCGTTCGCTGCGTTCGGTGGGCAACACACGAAACATGGCGTATGCAGTAGCTACCCGCCGGTACAACTTTTCATGTTCGTTGCGACGAGGTACGCACTTGCATCACGGCACGGTCGTTGACAGAAACCGACATCAGCACCAGCAGAGCAGTGGCATGTGTGGGAGGCGGGAACCAAGGTAGATAGTCAGAACGTAACGGGGAAAATGAGCGCTAGCTGTCGCTTTCAGAGGTAGGCGAGCAACAAGCTTCAGTGAATCGCAGCGTCATCTTCTCAGCGTCAGGAGGATGAGCTCAGCTCGACTTTTCAGGTGATCCTCTTCCCGTTCCGTATATATGGCTTGCGCAGCAAAAGGTACGACACAAACAAACATGGAAACAAGCCGTTCGCTGCCGGCTTTTACGGGTTCGTTGGTCTCGTGGTTTGCCACCCTGCCACCAACTGGGGGGCAAATCGGTCGAACGGGTACGAACACCTCGGCGCCCACGTGCTTCTTCCTTGTTTAGCGACACAGGACAACCTTTGGCCCAAGTGTGACCCAGACATGCTTCCCAACGCATGCATGCAGAAAACAAAACAATTCCGCGTTAACCAAGTGCTTCTGTTCACAGACACCGTCGGATTCACGACCGCATCTATGACGCAGACACCAAGACAAGCGTAGCGCCTCCGAAGAGATGGCGCTAAATTAGCGTCGGAAGACACGGCCTCGATCCCGGCCGTGACGGGTCAGTTGCAGCGGGTGGTCGTGTTGGGAGACTTTAGGATTATTTTGCTGTCTCATCAAAACTAGAGCTGTCGTTCGTAAATAATTTCTTGCCTACTTTGACGGACGGTTTGACGGACGGCTCTGACTCCCGGGGTCACACAAAATGGGTCCCCTCTCTGGTGCACGCCTCCCTTCATTTAGGAAACACGAGAACTCCAGTGTACCCACGTACGCCAAGGAGAATGCCTTGCCGGCAAAATAAAAGACATGGACACAGGCTCAACGAATCACTCGTGCCTCGCGTGCGCAGGCTCGGAATAGGTCTAGGCTTTGAACCACATGGCATCACGGCAGCAGCCACAAAAACACACCGCCAGCGCACGGACGTCATGCAGGAGGCACAGCAGTAGGCGGCGTCCTCCACACCGACAAGAAAAAAAAAAAGGCGATAAAAAGCGCGAAGGCGGCTTTGGTAAAAAAAGCACCAACGCCACAGCAGCAGCAGTGGCGAGGTGTACATAGCACATTAAAACATATATGTACTTGCGTGCCTGTTGGTTTGCTCGGCCGTTACACATCAACCGATAAATACTAACATATCCCAACGTTGCCCGCACGAAACGCACACACCGGCGCGAGAAGCAGACAACTGCAACATGGTGGACCCCGCGCGTGATACTCTCTATCTATTGCCTGGATAGATCGATCTGAACCCATCAAAAGTCTGCGGGAAAAAAAAGCGGGACTAAACCAGACACAGCAAACCGGCTTTTGCTCATGAACGCCCGCAAAAACGACGCTCGCCACTGAAGCAAAACTAGAGGTGCGGTGGCCGGGCACGGCCCGCAGTGGTGTAGACGACCAACAAGATACACCAGCGCCTCCATCCGGGGCCACAAGCTTCCGAGCCCCTCGCAATCACGCCATGCCCGCGCGCAAACGCACAAAAAAAAAAAAACAGTCTCGCCAGAATCCCAGTTCACGAAAGAGTTGGGAGTCTCAATACTGCCCCCCCCCCCCTGTCTTCTTCGCCTCCAAGCAGTTTCTCTTGCGTCCTTGCGACCAAACTGCCAGCGTTTGCCTAGGTCAGACCTCTCAAAGGGAGGGCTTCCCTCCCCCCGGCCAAAAGCATGCGTGGGAACGGGCATGGAAAATCCCCTGGGTGCCAAAATGCCCCCCGGGGGGGGTTTTTTCGCAGCTCAGCCCCCCCCCCCCCCCCCCCCCCCCCGCGGGGGGGGAAAAACAAACCACCTTTCTATTTTTTTTTCCCCCCCCCCCCCAAAAATGCTTTTTTTTTTTTTTGGAAACCACCCGGGGTTTTTTTTTCCCCTTTTTTCTTTTTTAAAAATGGGGGCCCCGGCCTTTTCCGGGGGGCCTTTTTTGTTCCCCCCTTTTGGGGCCCGGGTTTTTTTAAAAAACCCCCCCCCCCCCCCCCCCCCTCTCTGGAATCTGGCTAGACCTTGCGGCGCTTGGCGTCCTCGGCCCCGGTCAGGAGACCACCGCCGTTGGCGGGCGCGGGGGCCACAAGGCCAGCCGCCGTGACGGCAGAAACGGTGGCGGGGGGAGCCAGGGCAACCATTGGGTTGGAGAGGGGGTCGGTAGGGGCGGGGCCAAGCGACGCCAAGGTTGCCCCAAATCGCTCCTGTGACGACGCCATGTATTTCATAAAAAAAAAAGTGGGAAGCATCGGCGGAGGGGGAAATCATGTTTTTGCATGCCTTGCAGCTGTTAGACCATTGACCACGCGAGAGGGCAGAGATTATTCCACAGGACCGGTCACCGATGGCGAATCCTTGCTGGGGTGCTGTGATCAAGAAAACCACAGTAGCAAGCATGGAAGACAACCTGACTGTGGAACATGCGGGGTCTAAGTCGTACACGAGAGCCAATGAACGGATATTCCGTATTGCCGTATTGTTTGTTTTTTCTCAACCAACCAATGATCGCCTTGCTCTGGAAAATCCCGCAGCCTCGAAGGAGACGATATCGCCCCTTGCAAACGACTTTCCGGCCGGTTCTAGACCATCATGAACAAACATCACACAGGGGCATTTTTTCAAACACAGGCCAGACAACGTAGCAGCACACAGATCTACGCAAAAAAGACAAGCTGCATGCTGCGCCAGCGATCGACACAGCACTCGACAGCACTCATCGACTGGCGATTGTCGAATGAATCCCCCCACGACCAAGACAATAAACAATTCAGGGGGCTAAATGCTTCCAAACGACCTTTGGGGAGGCACACGACGGGCGTTTCAACTCAAGCTCAAACAAGATGCAGGTCTCACTCACAAGGGCCAACACGCAGGTCAGGGAGCGCGATAAGACGATGCTATCAAGACACTTCAAAAACACACCACCACCAGCGCACAAATGTCACAGCGCCGAAGGCCGGCCGGCAGGCCGGATAACAGCCAACAAAATCCCGACAAGGTTAAGATCGGTCGTGTGGCTTGCCGTTTCTTCCTTGCTGCTCACTCACCGCTTGGAGGGCAGCTACGGCGTCCTCCAGCTTCTTCACGCGCCGCTTGAGCTCCCCCACCTCGTCCTGGCTAACGGAGGGGGATGACATAACGATCGGATTCGCCGCCCTGACCGCATCGCAGAAAAAAAAAAAAAAGAGGGTCGATGGGAGTTTGGATTTTCGGGAGCAAACACACACATTCACCCGCAAACAGCAACAGGGGCGAGAGAAGGCGGTAAAGCAGGCAGGCCGCCGGCACAAACGAACGGGTGCTGCTATAAAACTGTTGTCATAACTGACGTGAGGCAGGGGGAGCTGCAAACCTCACACACAAAGAATGGAGAGAGGGGGAGGGGGGGGGTCATGCGCAAAGGATAGGCGCAGACCTCGCATGGTGACCGAAGTCCTTCCGTCCGAGCAAGAAAAATCGCTAATATTCGACTGGTCCGCGAATTCTTTCACCCCGCCCTTTCCCAACCTCCGGCCGACGGGACGCAACTGCTAATCACCCCCACGTCGGACCCTCACACGGGGGCAAATAATCGGCAAGGGAGAAAGACAGACACGGAGACGACGAGCTTCGGTCCTCAGTCGGCAAAAAAGAAGGCAGGGCAAGAAAACGACATTTTTTTTCATTTTCGTACAGCTTTGTTCTCACCTGAGAGCGGCGCCAACGGCAACCTTGAGCGGTGTTGCCACCGTCTCGTGGAAGTCCTCCCCGGGGGCCCTTCCGTGGGCATCCTGCAACATAAATGATACACGCAAAAAAAAAAAACACACACACACACACGCACGGCACATACCCAAACGCAACGCACACGCGTTTAGCTTCCCATCGCGGAGGCGCTCACGCCTTTCGACGAAAAATAGTTGTACATGGTCTTGTTCGGACCACACGGCGTTCCACCACGACTAAAATCGTGCTGCAGCCGGGCCTAACGCGCGCGAATCCTGCAAGCCCAATGTACATGTGAAACGCGAAAGTCGGTTTTCGGCCGTAGGACGTTTTGAGAGAGAGAGCAACACAACGCACCAGAAGACCACAAGACGTGTACTGATGAGGTGGGCATGCCCCAAAGCACCGCCAGCACTGCTGTACAACCCCCCCGTCCTCGCCTCGAAATAAATGTTGGCAAGGCGCGATCGCATCGTCGTTTGGACAAGCCAACTGCGCAAGAAGGTCACAAAAAATGACCGCGCTGGCACTCGCCCATCAGCAGCGTGAGTGCGAAGCGACCCTCTTCTCTCTGGGACTCTTGGGTCTGGTTGCAAGAATACAGCCACCCGATAACAGAAAAAAAAAAAAAGTGCCCAAAATGTTGAACCAATAGAAGCGACTCCCTCCAAGAGCTTCCCCCGCCCCCCCCCCCAAAATGCGCCAAGCCCTTCCATTCTGGAGCCCTTCTGCCACACCTTGAGAGTTGTGTCAGCGCCGGCGGCCAGCAGCTCCCGCACCGAGTGAAGATGCCCCTGCAAATTCCAGGCATGCATCGTTCAACAAGATGTTGCCGGACAAGGGCTTGTGAGGGAAATGGGTGTCGTGTACAGCAGTGCGACATATGTGCTCCAGCAGCAACGCTTTGTCAAGGGACGGCCGAATCTCCGCTGTACATGCTGAACAGCTCCGACAAACGTTACCGCTTTGACACCTCCCTCCCCACACACACCCCTCGCCTCTGCCACCGCCACAGCGCATCGACTGCAGCAGTACCGTGTACAAGGGCTCTACAAAAACGGGGCACCCGTTGATGGGCATGATACTCTCCCATCGCAAACAACAGAGAAAATATAATTTCAAAAGACCGTGTATACGGAATGATGCGGACGGGGCGTCCAGAGGACGACCCACAACGAAATATCTACAATACAGTACGTTCCAGAAAATAAATATATTTTGATGTAAAATAGACACGATCAAGAAGAACAGGCCAACTCGTCCGCCAAGCACGCCGCAAGACAGAAGGAACCTTTCCGCTATTTTAGTGCCCTCTCCTCGTTAGAAACCGGCCAACAAAGGAAGCGCACGCTTGCACACGCGTGAATGCCGACACCGACCGGGGAATCACACTCACCCAGTACGCGGCCAGGTACAGAGGCGTCTGCCCGAGGCGTGTCTTCGATTGCAGGGCCGGCGACGGCGTTGCGCTCACTAACTCTTTTACCACCTGTTGTACATATGATGCATCGCACAAGTTTCGACCGACCGCATGCATGAAAAAAGAAAAAAAAAAATCATGGTTATGCACGAAGGAAACAAATGTTGGCAATCAAAGAGACCAGTAGGGCAAGGATTCACAGAGGTCCAGCCGTTACAGCACTAGGTAAGGCCGGGCAAGCAGCGCGTTACAAACGCACATGTTACGTGAGGGGGGGAGATGGCAACTAAATACGGTGGTGTACACGAAGGAAAACGGGGCAAGATTTCGACATCCGCCCGCGCACCAACTCCCTGTTGATTTGTCCCTTTGAGGCTAGCAGCAGCAACAGCACTCACAACCACCATCGAGATGTCACGTGCACCGTCATATACCATGAACACCGCAAAATACGCTTACCGCCGGATGACCCCCGACGCACGCGCAGTGGAGGGGCGTCCACAACTCCATCGTCTTGAGGGTCACGTCTGCGCCGTGCTGGAGCAGGAATTTACAGGCGTCGGTGTGCCCTTTGCGGGCGCAGCGATGAAGGGGTGTCCACTGGGAACGAAAGCGTGGGGTGAAATAAAATGGAAGGAGAGGGGCGGGAAAGCGGAAAAGGAGAACGGAAGCGGTTGGATATTTGCCTTGTCGACGGGACGACGCTCGCTCATGGGTAGTATTATCTCGAATCTCGACCAGGTACAGTAGTTCTTGCTTTTTTTTTATCAAGTCGTTGTTTGATTTTAAATATCAATTGTTTTCTTTAAAATAGCAACTTTCTGGCGGCGACCTCGTCATCAAACAAAATGCTGTCTGTCGGGGGCGCGCGGTGGTTTCTATCCGACGACGACGTGCTCGTGATCGGCGAGGATCGGATCCAAATCGGGACGATAAGCGGGGGTGATCAACAGAACCGTTACCTACAGAAATATACTGTTTGTACTGGTGTCTCTCAGAGAAAGCATCGCAAAATATCGCGATCCAGGTGAAGCCACACTTCCATGGAACAGACAAGGGCTTGTCCGGTTATCCGGTTCTAAATGAGACGGTATTAGGGTTTTTTACCACGAGAACCGTTCGCCGACAGAATGGATACGACCTGCGCAGGTCTCTGAAAGCATATTAATCTCGCGATCCAGGTGAAGCCACGATTCCACCCGACGGGCAAGGGCTATTCGACAAGTCGGCGTTAGGTTTGGAGGGTGTCGGTGTTGTCGGGGGGAGGGGGAGGGATCTTGAGAGAAGTGCTTCTCACCAATCACAAACCATTAAATAAAAAAAAAACGGCGAGAGCGACAGCAATTCCAGGAGCAGCCGCGAGAGACAGCAGAGGTCTCACCAACAAGCATTCATTGACGTCGTGCTCTCGACAGCAGTTGATTCAAGGTGCTGCTGTATTATGTAGGAGATCGCGTATCTTCCGCCACAACAAACGAACACCAACTTTCAATCTCACCTGCGACTTGTCGCGAGCGTTCACGTCGCCCCCGATTTCCACGTACTTGCACACATCCCGGAAGGTGCCGCGGTCGGCCGCTCTATGGATATCGATCCCGGTTTCCTTCGAGGACGCGGGCATTCCCGCGGCGCCGGCGGATCCGGAGGAGGAGTAGCGCCTCGCTCCGGGCTTGGTGTGTTTCTGGTTGGATCGGAGCGCCGCGTTCGCGGCCGCCGAGGCGGCCGCCGCGGCTTGCGCCGCCGCCGCCTGCAGTACTGCAACCGAAGGGCCGGGCTTGGCGGCCGGTGGAGGTGCCACGGGCAAGCTGAACCCTGCCGGCGGTGCCACAAGAT